ATCTTGAATGAAAAGCGTGCTGGGTTTGGGGGGTCTTTTAGGTGTACCTTAAAGTGTTAGCAGACACAGATTAGGACAATGCTGAAAGGCCAACCCAGTTCCAGAATTCCTGCAGGATTGGTTGATGCCTCGGTTGCAAATGTGTTGCAATTCATCTTCTCCCTCTGCCCAGTCTTGCATCCCTCAATCCCCACAGAGGTTGTTCTTGCCATCATTAGGTAATAACCTCCTGAATACAAATTTCAGAGTTTCAGTGTCTGTTTCCTGTGAACTCAAGTTGCGATGGGTCCCCTGATGACTTGTATCAAACATATAACGTGTGAGAAATAAACCTTTATTGCAATAAGATGTTGAGATTCGGGGAATGTTACTGTAATTTAGCCCATCCTGATTAGTACAGATGCCAAACCTCACCTGCATCACCAGTCCTTTGTTCTCAGCTGAGCTTGACTTACATTGTCTACATTGTCTGCCTTTTGTCGTGGACAAGTTTCCTGCCAAGTCCTAATTCTGTTCTTTGATGTTCTTTCTCACTGTAAGTGAACAGCCATGTCCCAACTGAGATATCACAAGAAGGAACAGAAAAGGGAAGAGGGTACATATCTAGTTGTCTACCTACCAAGTCAGTGGCATGTGTTTTTTCATGTGAATTTCCTAAGACCTTTTCTGTGTTCTATATAATTTATTATACATTTATAACATGTACAGTAGTCCTCCCTGGCCCTTATCCACAAGGGATTTGTTCCAAGACGTCCAGTGGATGCCTGAAATTGCAGACAGTACTGAACCCAATTGCTGTAAACTGGAGTACATTTCTATTATGTCTTCGACCCCCAAATTTAATGCCTTTTCCATCTTAACTAAGCACTTATTATGCACTGTGGCCATCACTTTTGCAGTCTGAGGTGTGGCAGCAAAACTAGCCTGAATTTATTTTTTCTTCACAATTCAGTTTCACAGATAGATTTTTTTTTTTTTTTTTTGCTAGAGTCTCTGTCATGAGACTGGAGTACAGTGGTGCAATCTCAGCTCACTGCAACCTCCACCTCCCGTGTTCAAGCGATTCTCTTGCTTCAGCCTCCGGAGAAGCTGCTGGGATTACAGGTACATGCCACCATGCCCAGCTAATTTTTGTATTTTTAGTAGAGACGGGGTTTCACCATGTTGGCCAGGCACATCTTGAACTCCTGACCTCAAGTGATCCTCCCACCTCGGTCCCCCAAAGTGCTGGGATTACAAACGTGAGCCACTGTGCCCTGCCAAAGATTCATTGTTACCAGCGATCTTAGCAACCTCAGCATGTAATTTTTTTCCTTCCTTATTAAGTCAATAACTCTTTTTTTCTTTTGAGACTGAGTCTCGCTCTGTTGCCCAGGTTGGAGTGATATGGCACGATCTTGGCTCACTGCAAGCTCCACCTCCCGGGTTCACACCATTCTCCTGCCTCAGCCTCCCAAGTAGCTGGGACTACAGGCACCTGCCACCACGTCCGGCTAATTTTGTATTTTCAGTAGAGACAGGTTTTCACCGTGTTAGCTAGGATGGCCTCGATCTCCTGACCTTGTGATCCGCCCGCCGCCTCGGCCTCCCAAAGTGCTGGAATTACAGGCAAGAACTCTGACATTTTAACTTACAGGAAGCACTTTACAGCTTCTCTATGGCTGAATTGCCAGCATCACTACTCTTGTGCTTTGGGGCCATTATTAAGTAAAATAAAGGTTAGTTGAACACAAGTACTTGGATACTACATACTGCCACAGTCAGTCTGATAAGAGACTCCTTCTAAGTGATTAAGGAGGTTATAGCGGATACACTGTACAAATGATGATTCACATCCCAGAAGGACAGTGTGGGATGGCAGTGATTTCATCACAGCTAGTTAGTAACATTACTCAATTTAAAATTTATAAGGCCAGGCGCAGTGGCTCAAGCCTCTAATCCTAGCATGTTGGGAGGCCAGGAGGGCAGATCACCTGAGGTGGGGAGTTTGAGACCAGCCTGACCAACATAGTGAAACTCCGTCTCTACTGAAAATACAAAACTAGCTGGGTGTGGTGGCGCATGCCTGTAATCCCAGCTACTTAGGAGGCGGAGGCAGGAGAATCGCTTGAGTCTGGGAGGCAGAGGTTGCTGTGAGCTGAGATCAGGCCATTGCGCTCCAGCTTGGGCAACAAAAGAGAAACTCCGTCTCAAAACAAAACAAACAGTTTATTTCTGGAACTTTCCATTTAATATTTTCAGACCGTGGTTGACCGCAGGTAGCTGAAACGGTGGATAAGGGGGAACTACAAAAAGGACACTTAATGTTTCTTGGAAAAAAATCTTAAGCAAATAAAAATTGAATGAAGTACTTGATCTCAATTTGAGGAAGATAAAAGTGTACTACGAATTAATAAACTTTCTGCACCTCTAACATACTAAAATCCAATTTCTCTGAGTGCTAGAAACTCTGTTTTTGAAAGACAAATGGTAAAACAATACCGGTTTCTAATTTAGACCTTTTGGGCAAAACAAAATACAGTAATAAAGCTAATGAATCAGTCGGGTGCGGTGGCTCACGTCTGTAATCCCAGCACTTTGGGAGGTCGAGGCGGGTGGATCACCTGAGGTCAGGAGTTCGAGACCAGCCTGGCAAAGATGATGAAACCCCGTCTCCATTAAAAATACAAAAATTAGCTGGGCGTGGTGGCGCCGCCTGTAATCCCAGCTACTTAGGAGGTTGAGGCCGGAGAATCGCTTGAACCTGGGAGGCAGAGGTTGCAGTGAGCCGAAATCTCCCCACTGCACTGCAGCCTGGGTGACAGAGCAAGAGTCCGTCTCAATAAATAAATAAATAATACCTAAATAAATAAAGCTAATGAATCAAAGCATATGCTCTTCGTCTTTTTAAGGGATTTTACTAGGTAGATTTTTTCTCTGTCTAAAGGGTAAACAGTACAAACATATTTCAACTAAAAAGAGTCTTAGAATCCGGAGTTGGTATTGCTACAACCCCTAATTATGGAAGATGTTTAGTATAACAGAACCAGTTTAAGGAATGTGGAGATTTATTTACATCAAATTCAGATAAAGAGAGAATAGCAGACTCGAAGCAGCAAGCAGAGCATGACTTAAGGAGTCTATGACTGTATCTGTGGAACTGCCCTTAGCCTCAATAAAAGATCAGCAAAACCAGCCTTCAGCATAACCCTCCTGCCTGGTGGGAGATGGGAAGGCCAGACTTCACCCCTCAAGATCGCCCTCCCACGCGCATTTTCCACCTCGCAGCTAAGAATTCAGTCCAGACTTCCGATCATGGCGCCACGCACGTCACCTTCTCCCCTCGCCGCCGGCAAAATCCCACCCACGTCGGCTGACCCCGCAGCGGGGTGTAAGGGCGGGAGGGATGCTGGTCGCTTGTACAAATCAGATCGAAAAAACGCACTACACAAATCCTTGGAAACTGCGGTACCAACGGGATCTTCTCAATTACTTGAGTGCAAAATGATCCCATTCTCTATCCTGACATAACTCTAGCCCAATTTTCCTTTCACGTGCCCTAAAAAGCCGTCAAGGCCCCCAGCCTTGTGAATCCAGGCCCTCTCTCGGGGTGGACACCGCGCTGTACGGACAGACGCGCGCACACAGCGGGATGATTTATAGATTAAAAGTCTTTTTTTCTCTCTCTCTCTGGCTTCGCATCCTTGCAAATACTCAATATTCCTGTCAACTAAGAAGGCTAAGGGAATGGGCGGTTGAGGAAAGCAGGACGTCGATTACAGCAAACACAGCAAAGGGGTGGGGGGGTCTTTCCAATTCCGGCTTTTGTTTGAGTCAGAGGGGAGCCTGAGGAGGCCAAGGTCTCCGGTTCTGGGAAAGGCGGGTCCATCCGGATTCTTTGGGCTGCGGAGAGGGAGGCTCCAGCGCCATGAAACAACAGAGGGCAGTTCTGCCCCTCGAGGCTTTCCTCCGAGAGTACTGAGAAGGAGACGCCTCAGTCGGGAGAAATCCCGGAATCGGAGGAGTCTGCTGAACGCCTAACAAAAAGATGTGGCCGCCCTCTCTTAAACAAATACGCGAATCCCAAGCCTTGCACGTTTGGAAGTCATGTGTGTGTAAAGGAGAAAGGCCACTGCTGCCCACCGCAGCCCCACCCAGCCCTCGGCCATTCAAGGGACAGACGCGCCGCGCTGGGGCCTCGGAGCCCTCAACCAGCCCGGGACGAGGGGCGGGGCCGGGCGGGGTCGTGAGCGCGCAGGCGCAGTGCGGGCTTCATCCTGCCGCCGGCGCCGCCGCCGCCGCCCGCGCTGCACCACAGGCCAGAGACAGACAGGGCCGGGAAGAGCCGTAGACTGAGGAGGAGGCGGAGGCGGAGGCGGCGGCGGAGGCGGGGCGACTCCGGTGACCGGGAGCGCCGCAGACTGGCAGCTGCGGCGACTCCCCCCTTTGTGTCTGGTCTGCTCGGAGCCACTGGAAGTGCTTCCCGGAGGGACGCAGGGTGTCTCGCCGCCTCACTGCCCACTCCCTTCCCCGGCTACCTTCATCCGCCCTCCCGCCGCCCCCCGCCCTCGGTCCGCGACGCCCGAGCTCCTCCCGGAGCCCAGAGCTGCGGGAGAACGAGGCGGTGGCGGCGGCGGCGGCGGCGGCGGCTTCCTCGGGGGGTTGTGATTAGCTCACAGGAGCCATTGACGGGAGAAGACGAGGCTTTCATGGTGGAATTTACCTCAGACAAGATGGAGCGGCAGGAATAAAAAGCGAGGAAGGGAAGGGAGCGCCGCCAGGAGGGCTAGAAGGGGCAGCCTCTCGCACCCCGTCCGCCTGCGGTCTCGGGGAGCCCGGGCCGGGGCCGCGACCCCTCCCCTCCCCCGCTCCTACGTTTCCTCAGCCTTCGCCAGGGCCTCCCCGACCCTCTCACGGTTGTTCCGCGAAGGCGTGGGGACTGTGAGCTTGTCCATGGAGGCAGGCACCTTTTTGGATCCAGTCAAGGAAGAGGATTTGTTGTTTTCGAAATCAGAGTGAAGGAAGCACCGAAGCGAAACTTAAGGAATCCTGCCTTCCCGGAGCCGCGGGCGATGCGACTCGGGCTGCCGGGCGCCGCCGCCGCCCGCCCGGCTTCGTCCTTCCCGACAGTCAGGAACTAGTTCTGACCCTCGCCCCCCGGATCCGGATCGAATCCCTGCCCTCCGCACCCTGGATATGTTTTCTCCCAGACCTGGATATTTTTTTGATATTGTGAAACTACGAGGGAAATAACTTGGGAGATTTCTTCTTGGCTCCCTGCTTTGCCCACAGACATGCCTTCAGTTTGGAGGGCCGCGGCACCCCGTCCGAGGCGAAGGAACACCCCCAGCCGCAGGGGAGAGAAATGAAGGGAATTTCTGCAGCGGCATGAAAGCTCTGCAGCTAGGTCCTCTCATCTGCCATTTGTCCTTTCAAACTGCATTGTGATACGGGCAGGATCAGTCCACGGGAGAGAAGACGAGCCTCCCGGCTGATTCTCCGCCTCTCTACTTCCCATATTTCTTTTCTTTGCCCTCCTGCTTCTTGGCTGGCCCAGGGATGACTTCCTCGCTGCAGCGGCCCTGGCGGGTGCCCTGGCTACCATGGACCATCCTGCTGGTCAGCACTGCGGCCGGTGAGTAGCTCCGGCCGGCGCGTCCCGGCCACTTCCCCTGCGGGTGGCGAGGGAGGGAGCCCGCAGAGGCCGAGGCCTGTGCTCGCCCTTCGTCACGCGTCCCCCCGATCGCGGAGCTGCGAACCGGTGCCGGCGCGCCTGCCCCATGCCTTCCAGGGAAATCGCCTTTAATATTCCTGTGTATTTTCCTATCCCCACTTCCATATTCCCACCCCACCCCCCTTCACGGGGTGAAAAAGACATATTGGGTGTGGTATCTTGACATTTTTAGCTGTGAGGTAATGCAACGATTAAAAATAATATTTTAATCACCAGTGAACAGTGTCTATTACGAGGTCTCTGGAAACAGACCTGTAGATTTTTAAAATTATTATTATAAAGAAGCGGTTTTGGCTTACAGTAAAAAGAACATCAACTAGAGAACACACACTTGAACCTTATTTTGAGATTTAGATCACTCTGGAATCCATGTTCCTTTCATTATTCAGAAATTTTACCGAATGAATACAATAAATGTTGAGGAAGCCGGAACTGTGAGATTCTTGATATATTGTATTATACGGTTTGATAAGTTTACTGTTAGTCACCTGGCATCTCTCTGTTGGCTTTGCTGTCGAGACAACTTTGACCTGACATTAGACTTCTAGGAGATTTGACTCCGAAAGTTCTTTGACATTTCATTAAAGTCTAAAGGGTGGTAGTCATCCTTTCTTTTGGATATTTTCATTTCAGTTCTCAGAAACCTTAGGAAAAAGACCACATCTTCTATTTGCAACTATTTTTTCAAGCAGTCTTTTGGTGATTTGCTTTTAGAAATTTTGAGAAGTGAATTCTACATGTAACTCGTACACTTGGTTTATGATGGGCAAATGGATTGTGCTTTTAAAACGAGTAAAGGACCAAATGACCCTTTCGAATTACTTTTTTTCTTTTGATAAGTGTGTTTCACAGTAAACAAATTTCTCATTGCTATGTTAGATACAGAGGTTATTTGCTTAATTTGGTTTTAAAAGTCTGACCTAGGAAAATGCCGAAAGAAAATTTGAAGTTTCCTTTTATGCTTTTGATATTGTTGAATAATGTCTACTGTTGATTAATGTCTGTTAAATTGATGATAAATCTATATGGTTCTGTTAAAATAATTTGAACTTCTGAATTTACTTTAAAACTGATATTTTAATATTTTTGATAATTGTAGTTGCTTTCAGAGTAAAAATGATTTTTCTCCAAATTTCTTTATATTGTGTTAGCTATTTAAATTCTCTAGCCACAAGCCATGTGGTTCCTGTAAAATATGGAGTAAAAGGCCTTAAACATTCCATGAGCAGAAATCTGAGAACATACACTTTTCAATGTTCTTTGTTATTCTTAACCTTTTTAGAATATAGATTCTCATTTATCTTGACGTGCTGGTAATATCGTGATCAGAACTGATAAAAGTAAGAGAAAAAGCATTTATTTAAAAATAAACTTAATTTTTGTTTGGTAATACAGTCATTTTAGAAGAGTGTCTCTTAAAAGAGAGAGAATAAAAGAATCACTGCTAGTGGTTTTAGTCTTTTTTTCTTTAGTGTTGCATAGCACCAGATGACAAAATTTGTGAAGCTGGATTTCAGACTTGTAATAGTAATGATAATAGCTAGTATTTATTAAGTGCCTGCCATGCACCATCAGCTATTCAAATAACTTCACATATATTTTTTCACTTCATCCTCATGACAATTCTATTTTGTAGGTTATTATCATTCACCTTTTCCATAGAAGGAGAGTAAAGTACAGAGAATTTGAATAACTCACCACATAGTCAGTAAATTATGGAGCCAGGATTACAGCGTGCGCCTTTACGTACCACATTAATGGTAACAGCAGCAATAACAGCAACAACTTCTCACTTTTACTGGATGTATGAGATGGAGTAATGCCTTCACCAGATCAACCTTTGTAAAGAAGCAGGGACACTTACAAAGTGTCAGTGCAGCAGTGGTTATGCAAATGTCATAGTTCTGAACATGTAAAACTTTGCTTTGCCTGATATTGAAGTGGCTGGTGCAGCTTCATTAAGTGCAAGCTGATTAAAGAGGGCCTGTGTGGATTTGGGTTATATAGATGCAGTGATGTTAACTGGACAGGTGTAAATAGTGCAGCTGAACAGGAAAATAAATCCTAGAAGACTGATTGATAGCACATCCTTTTTTGGGGTCATGGATAAATCATTTCTTTTGAATCCCTCTTTCTCACTTACCAAGTTCTTGGACTCCTTAATTCTTAGAACATTTTCTTCTCTTTTCTTTTTTTTTTTTCAGACAGGATCTCACTCTGTCTCCCAGGCTGGAGTGCAGTGGTGTGACCTCGGTTCACCACAGCTTCCGCCTCCCAGGCTCAAGTGATTCTCCTGCCTCAGCCTCCAGAGTAGCTGGGATTACAGGAGTGCACCACCACACCCAGCTAATTTTTTTTCTTTTTTTTTTTTTTTCTTTTAGACAGAGTCTCGCTCTGTTGCCCAGGCTGGAGTGCAGTGGCGCCATCTCAGCTCACTGCAACCTCTGCCTCCCGGGTTCAAGGGATTCTTCTGCCTCAGCCTCCCAAGTAACTGGGACTACAGGTGTGTGCCACCACGCCTGGCTAATTTATGTATTTTTAGTAGAGACAGAGTTTTACCGTATTGGCCAGGCTGATCTCAAACTCCTCACCTCGTGGTCCACCCACCTCTGCCTCCCAAAGTGCTGGGATTACAGGCGTGAGCCACTGTGCCTGGGTTGGATTTCTTAAATATGGTAATTCAGTGACATTTTGCTGTGTAATTATTGGCAACTACAAAATCTTAGTGGCATGGAACAATAGGCATTTATTCTGCTCCATGTGTCTCCTTCTGGGGTCCAGGCTAGAGGGAGAGGTAACATCTATCTGGGGGAAGCTGGTGTCATAGCAATGCCAGAAGAGAAAGAGGCCAAGCCCCAACCCTACCAGCACATTTCCAGACTCTGCTCTCCTAACATCACATTGGCTGACCAAGTCATATGGCCAAGCTCAGAAGCAAGAGATATCAAAGTACACTTTGCCTATGATGAAGCTAATATAATATTTGGATGTATAGTACTATTGCAGAAGAATGAAGAATTGAAATCCTCAGTCGACCACATATAATCAATAAGATGGTCCAGAAGGGAGGCTTTTCTTAGTCTTGGAAGAGGGCCAAACTCTTAGTTTTTTGCATTAAAATTAGATAAACTTTGATCTCTACAAAAGCTATTCTGGCATGTGGGATTATGTGATAGTAGTGGTATTGATGTGGATAAGTAGTGAGGAGAGAGATAACTGTTCACACAAAGACAAAACCTTTCCTTCATTAAAGGCTAGTTTTTGTTTGTTTGTTTTTTTGAGACAGAGTCTTGCTCTGTCGCCCGGGCTGGAGTGCAGTGGCGCAATCTCTGCTCACTGCAAATTCCACCTCCCGGGTTCACGCCATTCTCCTGCCTCAGCCTCCCGAGTAGCTGGGACTACAGGTGCCCGCCACCATGCCCGGCTAATTTTTTTGTATTTTGAGTAGAGACAGGGTTTCACCGTGTTAGCCAGGATGGTTTCTATCTCCTGACCTCGTGATCCGCCCGCCTCGGCCTCCCAAAGTGCTGGGATTACAGGCATGAGCTACCGTGCCCGAAGGCCAGTTTTTTTTTTTTTTAACAATGAAAGAGAAGAAATTCATTATTGATTTCTGATGGGTAAATTCTAACCATTAAAAAATACTGAGTGGAATCTGTGTGAATCAGTTAATTTTATAATTGGCCACACCACTTACTTTGGCACCTACTTGTAGATTGCTGTGCTGTTGGATATCAGTTTTTGGGTTTTTTTTTTTGAGATGCAGTCTTCCTCTGTCGCCCAGCCTGGAGTGGAGTGGCATGATCTCGACTCAATACAACCTCCGCCTCCTAGGTTCAAGCCATTCTCCAGCCTCAGCCTCCCGAGTAGCTGGGATTATAGGTGCACACCACCATGCCTGGCTAATTTTTGTTTTTTTTGAGAGGGAGTCTCGCTCTGTCGCCCAGGCTGGAGTGCAGTGGCCGGATCTCGGCTCACTGCAAGCTCCACCTCCCGGGTTTACACCATTCTCCTGCCACAGCCTCCTGAGTAGCTGGGACTACGGGCACCTGCCACCAGGCCTGGCTAGTTTTTTTGTATTTTTTAGTAGAGACAGGGTTTCACCGTGTTAGCCAGGATGGTCTCGATCTCCTGACCTCGTGATCCACCCGTCTCGGCCTCCCAAAGTGCTAGGATTACAGGCGTAAGACACCGAGCCCGAAATTTTTTTATTTTTAGGAGAGACGGGGTTTCACCACGTTGGCCAGGCTGGTCTCAAACTCCTTACCTCAGCTGATCCACCCACCTCGGTCTCCCAAAGTGCTGGGATTACAGGTGTGAGCTACCACACCTGGCTGGATATCAGTTTTATGTATTTGCCTTGTCCTCCGAACTGATAATTGCTTCCAGAGGACAGTGTTCATGTCTTACTAGTTTTATAATTTACCATATTGCTATGCATATAGTAGACATTTAAGAAATACTTAGTGAATAATAAAAAGGAATTTCAACCAGGAATATTCTAGGATTGTTTATTGACTCAAATAACACACTAGTAACTTTTTCTTTGTCCTAGTTCCTTCAACTATAAAGTATGTAGTTTAAGAGGTATAGTGGGAAGACCACTGTTGGGAGTTAATGAGACCTAGATTCTAGGTGATTCCGGGCAAATACTTAACATAGTTTTCTCACTTGTAATAATACGGGGTTGTACTTGATCTTTTCAAAATACAGATTCATGGGTATCCCACTAGACCTACTGAATCCAAATCTCTGGACAACGAGCCTGGGAATCTGCCTTTGATGTCCCTATCAACCAGTAAATTTTAGGTACCTTTGAGAACTATAATTAATAGATATTATAAAATCACAACCATATAAAAATGCATGCATCTTTTTTCTTTTTTTTTTGCTGGGCGTGG